CACCCCGCTCTGCTCTGCTCACCCCGCCCTGCTCTGCTCAGGGAAGGTTTTGGCTGCATATGAGAAAGTGCCTGCGAGAGACTGGACACGGCCTGAGCCCAACCTCAGAACCCGACACTGACACACCAGCGGTGCCCAGTCTGTCAGAGCCAGCCCGGAGAGGTCAGTGGTGAAGAGGAAATGGTGAAGAATCATCTTTCACCTCCCCTGAGTTCACTGCAGACCATTCCCTCGGGGCTTGCCGCCACCAAACCCGCGCTACCTGGGTAGAGTAGCTGAGCGAGCCGGGCGTGTCCCGTGGGAGCAGTGGGAGCTCAGCTCCAGGATGGGGATGGGAGCAGGGAAAGGTGTTGAAGAATGGCTAAGGGAACAGGGGCACAGCTCCCAGAGAGCATTGTGCGAGCAAGAGTCGAGCAAAGGCTTATGGGAGCTTTGAGCATAGAACTAAGAAGTAGCCTCAGGAGTTTAGCTTCTCAGCATTAGAAGTTATTTTTGCAGCATGATGTTGTAGCCAAAGGACAAGCTATCTGGGAAAGCTCAGCAACGTTGCAAACCCAAGGATGAACTATTCCGGGAAAACAAAGAAGGATTCTCCAGAAAACAAAGACTTCTTCACAGCTGCAGCTGCAAGCAAACATAGTAAATAAATGTAACCTGTAGAGCTTAGGTAATGCTAAAATGAATAATAGGTATAGTTGTCCTGCAAGCTAAGAAAGTATACAAATGTAACTTTTAGAGTTTAGGTAATGGTAAAGAGAACAATAAGCAGAGTTGTTCATGCACTGTATAAATAAACGAGTCTTGCTGGACACCATCGGGTGCGCATTTCTCCCGTCGATCTTCCACAGAAAGGCACATGGGCAGTTTGCTTGCTAGTTCACACACACAGGACTCTGTGCATCTGCCCGGGACGGCCACAGGAGCTGTTTGGGTGCTCTGAAAGATGTGTTTTACTCACCTCCTTGCCCAGGGGTGTCTGCAGACACACGTCCTGCAGGGACAGACAGGCCTGACAGGAGGTTTGGCAGGAACTGCTGAACTCAGCTGCCACTAAAATGATTTTTCCAACTTAAGTGTGTTTGCAGCCAACTAAGTCTTGCAAGCAGCTTATCAACCAGGACTCGGGGAATGAATCCCAGTGCCGTTAATCCAAGTTCCAGAACACCCAAAGATGAAAACACAATCAAACGAAGGGCATTTTAAGAGGATTACAAGGAAAACTAATCTTGTGCAGACCCACGTCACATGCACAGCTCAAAGGAACTGTGAATGTGACGTGTTGCCTAACGTGGCAACTCAGTACTGAATTTATTTGATTTCACTGCTTTTATTCTCCTTGGCCGAACCATGTGTAAAATGTCGTTAGGTAGATGAGTCCCTCAGCCCAGTCAGGGCTCATCGAACTGAATACAAAGAAATCCAGACTTTACTTGGGATAGAAGCTCTGCCTTCCTCTCCTCATAACCTAAACTGGAGCTCCAGCACAAATGTCTACAGTGGTGTTGACATTTCTAGCACAGACTGTGATTCTCCAGAAAACAGACTTTATTAAAAGAAAGGTATGCATCCAGAAAGCCATGAGAAGCTCCCTCTGACCTCCCTGAACTGTTGGGTCAGCAGCTTCACCGTGATACTCAAAATAAAAGTCAGCACAGATGGGAGTTGGAAAAACTCTTTGTGAGCTTCTGCACATCACAGACACTGCCCTTCTGGAACAGGAAAAATCCCAGCACGAAATCTATGGAATGGATGAAAGGGCAGTGGGAAGGAACATGGCTCAGTGTGGAGTCAAGATTTTTCCAGCCTGCAGCTGAAACCAGAGCCAGCTGCAGGCTCTGAGCCACCCAACAACCAGCAGGGCGAGGGGTCGGCGCTGCCCCTGCAACAGGCACATCTGCAGGAACTGAGTCCTCTCCTCTGCCAGCTGCATGGCAAGACTTCCTTTTACACAGCAGAGACTGCCCTTGGTTGGAAATAGCAAACATCAGTCAAAGAGTGGCAGCAGGGTGAAAGCACTCAAGGAATGCTCTGTGCAGAGCAGCTCCTGCATCACTAGTGCAGGACATACAGAATCTAAACCATCCTCTATCAGCAGGTTGCTAAAAATACTGTGAAATTGTAAGGAGGGGAATGAGTAGAGTTTAAAAGTCTCTGGGACAGAGCCACTGCTCAGGGCCCCTGTGCCCTGCAGGACTCAGAAAAGGCCTGAGAGGAAGCAATGCAAGCACTGCAGAACTCAGAGATTGCTCAGAAGTGCAGGACAGCAAGGAAAGCTTTGTCACAAGAGCAGAAACAGCCACGTGGAGACTGGAGCCTGCCAGTCTGGCCATGGGAGGCACTACAGGCTCTCTGCTTCCCAACAGGAATGGTCTGGTAAGGGGTTCCTAAGTTGGAAGAATTTGTAATACAAAGCCTCAGCCTAGCAAGTCTCTTTTAATTTTTAAATGTACAGCATTTTAGTTCTACAAATGTAATAAAAATCAAAAACCAAAAACCTTTACAATGTTTAGGTTTTTTTGCTCATAATGGTCAAACCCAGCGTGATCCAATGCAATGTGGTTTGCAGTTCCTGTGGCCCTGTTGCTGTGGGTGATGCCAGAACAGCGGCCAAGACACAGCTCTGAGCCAGCACCTGCAGGAGCTGCTCCTGCAGCACTCACACAGGTGTAGGAACTGCTGCTACAGCTCGCCAGGCAAGCACACACGGAACACAGCTCACACCCACACAAGACACTGCACGTGCCAGCCCACAGTGCCAGCTCTGAGCTGGAGGGAAGCTGTGTGCCAGTGCTGCCCCCAAATCACTAAGGCAAGACAAGGCTGTGACCAGAGTTACAAGCAAACAAGGAAACTCAGACTCAAACTCTGCAATCCCAAGCCCCGGCCATGCCTGGCTCCTTGTCAGGACCAGAACTGCAGGTGAGGCTCCCACTAACAGCTGCACTAACACACTGTGGCACAAATAACAACACACCCACGTGGCACTGCTGTGCCCCTGCCAGGCTGTGCCCCGCGGGCAGGTCCTGCACAGCTCACACACTGCCCAGACTAGAGCACAAGCATTACAAGTCGATAAAGCAGCAGCCCCTGTGCTGGCACACGAGAATAAATTAACCCAAAAACTTTAGTATTACCATTTATTGGTGACAAACACTACGTTTTACTTACATTCCATGGGGAGAAAAAATTCCAGCGTAAACAATGAACGGAAGCAGTACTGAACTCGCGGCTATCGTGCTGTACCTGACCAATGCAAACCTCCGCGCAGCGCGTGCGCGGGAACACAACATCAAAAGCAACACAGTTATAGAGAAACATAGGTCATTTTTTTCAGCCCTACATGGAGATGTAATTAAACAGTATAAAGCACTCAAGGAAAATCAATCTGCAGTTTTATATGCACTACATTGAGATCATATCCTGTACTGTAGTGAGCTGGGAGCCACCGGCACCGGCCTGGAACAGCCCAGAGATCACTGAACGTCATGTTGCATTCGAGTTCCCCTACCCCACACTCAAGAAAACTGGAAATTAACCGAAAATGATCAAACCGAGTTTAAAATCCCTCGAGTGTTTTAATTCACTCAGCCGTTGGGTAATGCGGGTTGGCCTGGGGGTTAAAATGGTGAGCCACAGCCTGTCCCCAGGGAAGGGCTGCGGCCCCGATAAAACCAAAGGAACCACATACAGGGATATGATCTTCCCGAGTTAGTTCACAGGTAACATGTCAGTCTCAGAAGACAAAGTTTCTAAACTGTGCTATTGTCCTAGATACAATTAAGAAACTTTTAAATGAAAAATTCATAGTGTCATTTCAATCAAAACAACATAATGAAACTAAAAATGTATCATCACTGTCTGAAGAAAAAGCAACAGTTATGATTCAGACACTACAGTAGGTTGTAGACTGTAGCACTCTAACAGTTAGGTTACATTAAGAGGAAGCATTTGATTTTCTCTGGTGCTTTCAGGTTTGGGTTCAGTCAAGAGCCTGTTTCAGGCAGTGCTGTCCAGTGTTTGTCCCAAAGGGTTTGCACTTGCCGGTTTGAGGAGAGGGTCACTTTCCATTTCTTGTTTCACACATCTGCAATGAGAACACACCTGTTACTTAGGAGACAAAACACTGTTTCAACAAACAAGAGGGTCTGAACTAGACACAAAGAGTTGAAGGTGCAGGTAACAGTTTGTTGGCATTTTTAACCAGTCAGCACTTTGTTAATCCACCACTGTCGGTCAGAGAGCTCATTCTCTCAGGGAGAGGCACAGCTTTCTCTCCTCCCACCCCAGCCAAGTGAAAAATTTGCAACCCCTTTTAACTGCTCTGGCCAAGAAACCCCTCATGTGTCTGTAGACCCTCACAGGGCTAATCTGCACTAGTGCCAGGGAAGTCAGTGGGTCCCACTCACACAGACATTGGTCCATTTCCTGTCCTTGGCATCTCTGTGGTTTGTTGGTCCAACTCAGACAGCAACTTTAAAATATTCAGTGCAGCCTAAAGAGAAGAGAGAGCACTCAGCAATCAGCCTCAGGCACTTCAGCCACTTACCCACTCCAACCAACCCAATGTTCTAATTCTGGCAATGTATTGTTAAGATGTGTAATTATGGTAGAAAATGCAATTCCTTCTGGCTTCACTAACCACTCGGATGGTGCTGTGACTGGGGGAGTCCCACTGCACTTGTTTCTGCAGTGGAAATCAGCCCAGCAGGACTGGGAACAGTGAGAAAAAAGACACTAAGTCAGCAACAACAGCTCAAACTGAGGAGCTTGAGACAAAGGACAGTAAAACACACAGAACCAAATAATCCTTTGCTGAGAAAGAAAACAAGTTATACAAGAACCAAACACAGCACAGTGGGGCACAGGTCTAACAGGGTCGGTGTGACACAGCCCAGGCCAAGGTCAGTCACCTCCTTGGAGAACTGACCTTTTACTACACTTGTGGTGTGACACAGCCCAGGCCATGGTCAGTCACCTCATTGGAGAACTGACCTTTTACTACACTTGCCCAGTGAATGTGAACCCAAGTGTCACAGCTCTCTGTGAAACATCAGCCCACTCTGATGTAGGAGGAAAATAAGCTGAGATGCTCTTATGGTTTGCCAGTTCCTTTTTGTGTATTTACTGTCACATGTCCATGCAAATACTGAGATGAAGCAAATGTGCTTCTTATAGACCAAAACTGTGAGCAAATGTTAGGCAATTAAACATTATTTAGGTTGGATTCTGATATTCTTAATCATCATTTCAGCAACTTGTGAATTATTAGACAAGACTTAGCCAGGGAACTGTGGAACATCAATTCCTTGCTCCCAGCAGAGATATGAAGCCCTGGTCTGTGCACTGTGTCCCCTGGAAGGCCCAAGAGCAGCAGGTGAGCAGTGTTCATCCTACCATATCGTGGCAGGACTCCACGTCCTTTCCAATCCCATGGCTGATCAGTGGTGGCTGAGAGGAACAGTTTATAAGAGATACAAACTCATTCTTGTTATTTTTTGGAAAGTCTTTATATTCAACCTGAAAAGAGAAGGATTTAGGTTCTTTTCAGTTAACCAAGAACAGGAAGTATATCACAACTGCTGCAGATTATCTGCCCCTAGATGAAGCTGAGCCTTTCTCACCACTCTGTTAGCCAGCAGAACCACCCTCTGAAGCTCAACCTCACAATGGATTTTAGCACTCACAGCTCTGCAAACCTCTTGAATGAAAGTGGCCACTGAGTACTGATTGCTGCTGGGACCTTTATTCTCATCACTGCTTCCTGCATTTCAGGTCCCTATATTGTGCCTTTTAATCCACTGAGCTCATTTACCATCTGAATGCAATTCTCGTTAGAGGGACCAAACACAAGAAAATGCACAGCTGACAGCAAATGCTGATGTATGAAAGATTGGTGGAGCAACCTGATTTCAGATCAGCCAGGTTCAGATCCACACTGTGTTCCTGCATTAGGACAACTGTCAGAAAATGCTGCTTTGACTTTGTTCTCCCGGGACCTCAGAGCAGCACTGAATTAGGCCAAGGATGGCACAGAAACATGTTTGGGAACTGAATTAAAAAGCTGCAAAATTCAGTAGATTTCACAGGTAAAGTACAACATTAACAGGACTTTCAGCTGAACAAGCAGCCTCAGAACACATCAGTCACCAGCAGAACTAAACAGCTTCAGAGCAACAACAGGCTGGACCTCTCAGATGGCCCTGGCAGAAATCTTGCAGAGCCAAAGGTTTACCTGGATTCCTTGAACGTTGGAAAGGTAGTCCAGCTGCTCAGAGGGCCTGGTCAGGGGCCCGTGGGGGACATGGCCTGAGGAGTTGCTGCTCTTCAGGATGGTCTCAGCAGTGGGAGAAGTGCCCCCATAGAGCAGCTCCCGGGCAATCATCGCGGTCACCGTGGCCTTGGCAGGGTTCGGGGCTGCCCGACTGAACTCTTTGGTGTGGTGTCCTTGGTTGGCTCCTACAGCCTGTGCAACCTCAGGGACCATGGGAAGAATTCCAGCAGGAAGCTGCTGATGGCTGAGATAAGGCATCCTAAACTCGTCTTCTTTATTACCTGAGAAGAGAGAGGTACGCACTGAGCAGCTGTGGCTGGTGAGGCCTCCTACAGGAACAGCAGGGAGCAAAGGCCACTTCAGAGAAAAACAGTTTCAAGTTGCTTTGAAATCCTGACAGACTTGGGGAGCTCGATGGGCCTGGGGTGGCCCAGGGCTCAGGCTCCATGGAGACACAGAAACAGAACAGAAACAGGTGATAAGACAAACTTGCCATGGTGACTCCTCCCACCAGCTGACACTGAGTGTGCAGGTTTGGGGTTTTGGTTCCAGCCTGTCACCTGGGTCTGACCACCACCACCACCACCAGCACCAGGCACAGCTCCTGCTCTGTTACCTGACACCAGGCACAGACACAGCTGGTTCTGGACAAGGCCATTCCTTCCCTCTCCAACTCGACTTTAGGACAACCAGTTCCAGTAAGCACTGACACCCCTTCTCATCCCCATCCCAGGAACTGAGGCCTCAGGAGCAATAAGCTCTTTGGGGTTTGAACCAAACCTCCCCAGGGCTGGTGGCCTGCAAGGCAGCAGTGTCCCGCTCTGCTCACCCGTGTGCTAAGTGGCACTGCTGAAGGGGCTGGGGAACACATCTGACACACACACAGGCAGCAGGGCTGTGCTGCTTTCACCCAGTTACTCACTAGCTGAGGTCTCTTCAGAGCCTGGCTCAAAGAACGTGACTTTTCTTCCATCACCTGGTTTCTTCACTGGGGTCTTAAAAATAAAAGGAAAAGAACTCGAATACACAATATGCCTTTAAATCTCTCCCCCCTGCCAAGTTTTAGACTTCCAGATGAATGTGATCTAATCAGTCAGAATTTTACTGGAAAAGTTATTATTCAAAAACTTACATTATTACATCACTACCAAGAAGGGACAAGTTCAGTGATTGTTATTCACTGAAGGACTAGAACTATCCACAGCCCAGAGAAGTGGTACAGACACTCAGAGCCAGATACCAGAATGAAGCAGCTCAACTGCTGTTAGTTACTGGTACTGCTGAGGAGAGCACACTGGGCACGAATGAGCTCCTCCCTGAAAAGGAGAAAACTAACCCCAGATTTGCTGTTTGAGCTCCCCAGGAACACCTGCAGAACCACCAGCAGAGCACACAAGGCTCCCTCCCTGCTAGGGGCCTGTGACAACCTTTCTGCTGCAGCTGGTGACAAGGCTGTGGAAAACTACTGGCCAGGGCTGAGAGCATCAATTTCCTACCCTGCTACTGCCGTGCAAAACTGCTGCTGTTTCAGCTTGGCCTTTGCTGCAGCATTGACCAGCTGCTGGTTCCTGAAGACTCCTACCTTCTCTTCTGTCTTTAACGCTGGTTTTGGAGGCTGAGGTTGAGGGACTTTGAAACCTAAGATTTCCAACATGTTCTCGGCTGCATTGCGTTTAGCAACCTTCTTGTTCGTGCCCATTCCTTCGGCCGTGTGCACACCAACCTTCACCTGCACAGAGGAACAGAACCCAAATCAGCTGCTCAGCAGCAGTGAGGGGATTCCCTTGTTAGTGATCTGTGTCTCGAGCACACCATGAGCCACAGAACGGTACGAGTGATCACTGTCCTAACCAAGCCGACGTTTATTATCAATGGTCATCGGCCTTTGAGCACAAAGAACCCAAACAGTCACACAAACAACTCTATTCCATCATCTCACCTTGGGTGTCAATAAATCCCATGGTACACAATACAAGCAGCTCAGTTATCTGGCAGGTACTGGGCAGGTACCACACAGACTTGTGGTGCCCTGTGCACTTCCTTTTCGGCACAACTCAGATCACTTCCCCTGAACCTTTACCTTCTGTGGATGAGCCCATTACACACTTGCTCAAATCATGTGATGGAAACCTGGGTGTGACCTCCTGACAAGGTGCCTAGCACAGAACGAGGAGAGACACCAGGCACATCACCCCCCCCGAGCACACCAACCTGCATAACGAACTCCCTGCGCCGGGGCAGCCCACGCTCCGTGATCAGCATGTACTCTGGCTCCTTCTCCTTCTTGGCCTGCTGGATCTGGGCAAGTCTGCTAATGGGGTTCATTCCTTGGCCATACTCTGGACTTGTCTGCAGCTATGAAGAAAAATGGTTAGGAGATAAGCCAAAACTTGTGACTATTTGGTTTGACAGACAAAATGCAGCATGACACTGAACTCATTCATCTCCAGCATTCAAAAACACTGAAATAGAAGTTGCTTAATAAAACACTATCACAGCCAGAGGAACACTGCATTTACTCGGCTCTGCTGTCACACTTGACCACAGGTAACCTACTGCTGCTAATAGCTTTACAAGTTCTAATCCTGCTGCATTAGGAGGGGCAGCCTTACAGGAGAACTGGCACAAGCAAAATCAGGGAAACCCAAAGCTGTAAAGTCTGAGGCTTGAAAGTCAGAGCTTGATTTTTCTGTGCTGCTCGTTCCTTTGTAAGGTTTCTCTTTCATCCTGAATTTACTGGCAACTGCTGTGAAAGTGGTGTCAGGACCCCATTAGAGTGGGAGCAGAACAGCAGCCCCAGACTGCTGGTAAGGGCTGAGCAGCTGAGGAGTGTTGACAGCTGACTCAGAGCAGCCTCTCGGCCGATGGTTATTTGCACAGACTTCCAACCTTTTGTCCCTTACCTTCACTATTGATTTTGTTTTCTTTTTGATTCGTGGCTTCATTTTCTCAACTGTAGGAAGGGGAGGCAATTTTTTCAGTTCTTCTAGGACTGCTATTGCAGCATTTTTCTTCGAGATCTTCTTGCTCTTTCCTTCACCTTCACCCATGAATTCTCCAACTGACACCTTGGTTACAAAGCTCTTCATGTGGGGAGGACCACTCTCCTTGGTCACCTGTTTCAGAGGGAAAAACTGAGTGAAAGCGTGATAAACACTTATTAAAAATGGTAGAGCACACTGGTTATAGCAAACTTCTCTCAAGAACTACAGACAACGAGACTTTAGCCTCTCACACAACCCAAGCAAATCCTACTCGCTCTAGTAACACGCTCCCACCCAACAAGCACATCTTTGAAGAGATCAGATGCAGCAAGCAGTATTTACACAGACGTCATTAACCCATCTGACTTCAGTCACTGATTTACTCTTCCAGTACTAAGAGCTGTTCTGTTCCATCAGTGTGCACCTCCCCACGGCCAGCACCACCTCATTGAGCAGATCGTGGCACAGTAACTAAGCATGACAGAGAAAGCAATTCTCAGCATCCAGCATTTCAGCTCAGAAATTCTGATTTCTGAACTTGGAATTCTGGAGCCACCCAAGAGAGTTGCCTGCCACAGACTTAGTCTCTTCACCCCGTTCACCACACCTCATCCAGCCAAAGAGCAGGAAGGAATCCAGAGCTCCCACCCACAGCTGGCTTCGTGTGACAATGCGTTTCACCAGTGAGGCTCAGGATAACCGGCCATGGAAGTTTCACAGAAAATTTCACAGAATGGTTTCAGAAGCAATTTAGTTACACAAAATTGCATTTTCTTACTCTGATAAATCAGATAGTTGTTCCTCTGCCAGCTCAGGGAAGCAGCAAGACAGATTGATAATTTAGCGAACCAGAGATGCTCCTGTGGAAGCTCCTGATTTAAGGGGACTGAAATGACCAAGGAGGGGCAAAGAGGTAGCAAGCAGCCAGGCCAAAGGGAAAGGAAAGTCAGAGGCCCATGAGGTCACCTCATGGCGAGAAAAGAAACCTACTTGTGAGGCTCTGCACCTCACGGCAGTCCATATCAGTGCTCAGTTAAGCAAATACTTCCATACGTGTCTGTCAGAGCGAGCTCTGCTCTTCTGCCTCAGCTCTGCACTTCCATGCTCTAACCATCAGTATGGGGCTGTGTTTTGGCTCTTCACTGTAATGCTGACCTTTCAAAAAGCTCGGAACAAAGATTGCACAGACAATCACAGGGAGCTGTTCACTCCTGCGACCAGTTTAGGGCACCAGCTGTGAACAGGGGACTTCTCTTCCCTTTGCCATACAGACCCTGAGACAATCAGGCGACTGTCACAGGCTAAAGTGTTTCCACAACTAACAAGACAAGTTAAAAGTCAGTTGTTTGGGTTATCTAGGAGAGGCTCAACTTAATGTGTACCCTTAGTATGCTAATAAAAACAAATCTAGAGCTTGTAAAATAAACATACCTCAAAATTCACAGGCAAGTTCCTTTTAAGTGCAATCTCAAAAACTTGGCTTATTTCAGATTTATTGAGATTTTCATCATCAGGTTCTTTCCCGTTAACCTAAAAGAAGCATACTCTATTTAAATAAAGATCCTAGTAAACTGAGTTTTATCCATTCAACCACTTCACTGAACTCTCCAGGTTGCACGTAGCCTAAGCTTTGCTGCCGTGAGGTGACTGCAGAAACACAGTCCCCACTGCTACAGAACGGGCACAGAGCAGCTCAGTCAAGGTGTTTGTGCAACAGCTTCCCAACCTCGTGTTTCCATGTGCTCATTACAGGAAAGGAGAAATGGAACAAGGGCCAATGGGTTTCAAAATGTGCTTACAACAAACCAAACTGAAGTGTTCAATGAACTGATTTCCACATGGAAGTACCTTTATGAAACACAGTTTTCATATACTGATTGGACGTTTGCACCAAAGCTCTAGGACAGGATCAGGTAAGAGAAAGGGCAGGAAAATAAAGATTCTGAGAGTGGGACCAGTGTGAACAGGGAAGGCTGATCAGCCCTGGCACAGGCCTGCCTTTGCACAGGCTCCTTTCCAAGTGCTTCCTCTACAGCTGTTCTCCTCGCCTGAAGAGCAAACTGCCAGGAACTTGCCCTCAACCAGAGGCACAGACCTCTGGGAGCTCACACCTGCCAGGAGGACAGCAGTGCCAGTGAAGCTTACCTACAGGCACTTCTACGTGTCTCCAGGTAAAACTTTGATTGTGATTCCAAAAATGTCTTCACTGATGCTGGGATCAACATGAACTAAGAGGCATGGCAACAGCAACAGAGAAATTTTAACACTGCATGTCCAGCAGTATATTGGAAAGATCATGATACAGATGAACAGCAACGATTTCACCCATTAGATCATGCCACAATGCTACTTATGCAACCAGGTAACAAAAACGGTTTCAGCATTTCACTGGAGCAGCAGAAGAGCTGAGCTAGAGAGCTCTCATGGATTAAAGCTGGTTTGTTGGTAGCAACCACCCCCACGTCTGCTACTAACAAGTTGGTTTAAAACATGAAGGAATTTTTTATCCCACCACTTTAAATAGTCCCAGAAAAAAAAACCCACAGTGAAATGACTCTGAGGTTTTTACTCCTCCCAGTGTCCCACCAGAGCACCAGACACCCCAGGGAGCACGGGGACCCTCCCCGGGGCACACCTGGACCCGCAGGGCACCGCGCAGCGTGGCACCAACGGGTCCTGCCCCCCCAGCCCCAAACCCCTCTGCAGGCACAGCATCCCCTGCCAGCACAGCCACTGGCACTCCGAGGTGCTGCCCCTCCAGCCCCAAACCCCTCTGCAGGCACAGCATCCCCTGCCAGCACAGCCACTGGCACTGCGAGGTGCTGCCCCTCCAGCCCCAAACCCCTCTGCAGGCACAGCATCCCCTGCCAGCACAGCCACTGGCACTGCGAGGTGGTGCCCAGCACAGCCAGGAGCACTGCCCTCACTGACAGAACAGCCACACAGCCACCTCAGCTGCAGATTTCCTCTCCTTGCAATTTCAGGTCTATTCTAGTTTCCCAAATTCCAACATTTTCCTTTGTGAAGATGACCAGGACTTCTCGTTGTTGGATTATATTCATCCCATTTAATATCCCTTCAAGAGAATACACCAAATAGAATGAACATATTCGCTCTATTATGGTGCATATTCCTGACACATTCCAAGTCTGTGCACACTGTGCAAAACAGTTTTCTTCAATGCTTTTATCTACAAAGAGTAAATTAATAGCCAAATAGCAATGAACAGACTTTAGCTGTTTTACAGATTATTTTACCTCTACTTGGCTCCTGGATCAGTTCATTTTATAAATCAAACATAAGCATGCACACAAACTCT